ATGGCTGGTCGAAAGAATTAGAGCAAATGAGACAAGATAAAGCTATGTTGGGGGTTGACATTGACTTTCATTCGTCACAATGTGCAATGTTGAGAAAAGATAAAGAAAAAGGTGAGGATGAGTACAGAGCCTTACAGACAGATTACCAGGAGTTGTATAAATCCCGAAAAGCATCAGGACCCAGCCAATCGACGGTACAGATGACCAGAGATTTGAATATCGAGAAAAGACGAGTTGAAGATCTGAAAGGAAAGAATAGCCGTCTACTCAAAAGCCTGGAAAAAGGAAAGCAAAAAATGGAAGATTTCGAGGTTGACAGGAGAGAGCGAATTATAAAACACAAGGCTGAACACCGCGAGATCATGAATGAAATGCAAAGAGAAAGAGATCGAGCCAAAGATTTAGAAGAGATGAAGAATGACATCTTTGTTAAATTTGAAGGCGAGAAAAATATCATGTTCAAGGGATTTGAATCTAAAATGAACCAGTTGATTGCTGAACTTGAAGTCAGAGGCCAAAAGATGGAAGAATCCAATGTTGAAAAAGAAAAATGGGAGCTGAAAGAAAAATTTCAACACCAGACTTGAGGTAGAGCAGGAGGTGGCTAGCAATTGGATGCAAAGATGCAGAAACAAAGATGTTCAATCCAGAACTTAATCAAAGAACGCAAGAAGCACGAACAAAACTTGAAGAGGATTTGGATCAGTCTAGAAACAAAACTCAGAGTTTAATGCTTACATTTTGCAACTGGAAGAATCATTGTTTCAAGAAAAGGTTCGTCTAGGACCTAATGATCTCAAAGAAAGTAATGAGGAAAATGCTTCACTGCGAAGACGCATTAGAGATCTTGAAAAAATTCTGCACAATTGTCAAGTCAGAATCACTGAGTTAGAGCAAACTCTTGAAGGAACAACTGAACAATGGCAAAAGTCAACTGAGTTCTATGTCGAAAGAAGTGAAGAAAGAAGCAATATGGTGTTCGAGGCCATGGTACAAATGAGCGAGGTTGCCAGATATGTTGGGGAACTAGCTGTTGAAGCCGAAATAATTGAGCATCAAGTTGATCCAGTTTCTAAGTGTGGAAAGAAGTGTCATGGTTAATGAAAGAAATTATAGAGCTTAATAGGAAAGCTATGCCTTATTTGTAGTTCTGAACTATTATAAAGAAACTTTTGTATGCCGATGAAAGTTGTTCTATGACAGTTAACTTTTTGGGATCAATGTTTTTACATACATGCATTTTGCATACATTCATCATTCATTTCATAATTTTCGCTATGAATATTTTATTTATTAAGTTAAAATTCATTAATTAAAATTTGAAAAATAATATTAAAAGATTTTTCAATCGCAGTTACTCTGGCCAAAAGAGAAATACTACATCACTACGGTACTAGACAAGCCATTAAGAGAATTATGGAGGATAAAATACAGCGTATTGAGGAACAGCATCATAAAGAACAAGAAGAAATGAGAATGAAGTTGGAAAAAATTGAAGCCAGCATTGCAAATTCACAAGACAGTATGATGAAGAAGATAGAGGACATGTTTAAAAGGCAGGCTACCAGTGGAAAAATGCAAGAAAATCCTGTATCTTTTGATCAAGATCCTATGTATCCTCTAGGTTTTCCACCAGAATCAATTTATCACTCTGGTACTACCCCTATACAAATCAATGCTCGTACATCTGCATTACAAGAAGTCAAATCACATGAAGATCAACAAGTGGATCCTGCATCTTCAAGCAAAAATCCGCTTATATCAGATGTGAAAGTAGGGGATCTTAATACTGAGCATTTGATCCCAGATTTAAATGAGCTGAATGAGAAACAAAAAGTAAATGAAGAACTGACCAGACAGATCAAGAGTTTAGAAGAGCGAATGAAATCCGTGGAAATAACTGAATCATTCTATGGATTTGATGCTAGTGAACTGAGTTTGGTTCCAGACTTAATCCTCCCTATCAAGTTCAAAGCTCCCGAATTTGATAAATATAACGGTACTACATGCCCTTCATCCCACATTACTATGTTTTGTCGAAGAATGGCAGGATATGTGAAAGACGAGAAATTGTTAATTCACTGCTTCCAGGATAGCTTGACAGGACCGGCTTTAAAATGGTATACTCAATTGACCAAAGCCAACATTAGATCCTGGAAAGATTTGGCTAAAGCATTTTTAGAGCAGTACCGCCATGTGACAGACATGGTCCCTGATAGATGGACTCTACAGAATTTGGAGAAAAAGAATAATGAAACATTCAGACAGTATGCCCAGAGATGGCGTGACACTGCGGCCCAAGTTCAACCACCTTTGTCAGAAAAAGAGGCCACAGTGATGTTTGTCCATACATTGAAGGCTCCTTATTTAAACCATCTAATGGGGAATGCAACCAGAAATTTGCAGATTTGGTCATTTCTGGAGAATTAATTGAAAATGTCTTGAAAAGTGGCAAGATTGAATCGAATGATGGATCTAGTTCCAAAAGACCTACATACCGGAAAAAGGAGAATGAGGTCAACAATGCCAATTCTTACAGCAAAGATTCATCGAAAAGTGTTACAATAACCCAGCCAAGGGTTAAGAAAGAGGAAATAAACACTAATCGAGCAGAGTCCAGAGGATCTCGAAAAGAAAATGAAAGGTTGTCTTTTACACCTTTACCAGTACCATATGCAGAGATCTATGATTCGCTGTTAAAAGCAGATGTTATAAGGCCCTATCCTTTGGTTCCCATGCAACCACCATTCCCTCCTTGGTATGATACAAAGGCACACTGTATTTACCATGAAGGAATTACAGGACATTCTATTGAAAACTGTCTAGCTTTCAAAAGGGTGGTTCAAAATTTGATCAACACTGGGAAGTTGGAATTCAATACACCATCCGCATCAAGTCATCCATTGCCAAATCATGGAGATAAAAACGTGAATGCAATTCAGGAAGAGAACAGAAAGAAAGCAAAGACTGACATTTCTGAAATTAAATCTCCGTTCGTTTGGATATTCCAACAACTTTCTTTAGCCGGTATAATTCCACAACAATTCATGCCAAAGCAGAATGAAGGCAAGAATTATTGTGAATATCATCAGGAAAAAGGGCATAAAATTCAACTATGTCCTGAGTTTAGAAACTTGGTGCAAAAATTGATGAACAATAGAGAAATAGAATTCTTTGAAGAAGAACCCGGGAAAAAAAAATGATGTTTGCTCATCAGAGGATTCTAAACCAAATCAAAGAATAAATGATCCTGTGATCATTAATGTGAAATCATCCACGGTGATTCCGGCACCAATAAAGCCAAAAGTAGTTATCACCACTCCTCTACCATTTCCATACAAAGATACCCGCAGGGTACCTTGGAATTATACTACCAATGTTTCAATGGTAAGAGGATCTGTTTCTCTAGAAAAAACAGAAGAGAAAAAACAGAGTTTGAGTACAACATCGACATCTGAAGCAGTGAGCGAGGTCGGTTTCTTTACAAGAAGTGGGAGATGTTACTCTCCCGAAACATCCAATGCTTCAGAACAAGTGAAAGCAAAAGGAAAAGCTGTGGCAATACCTCAGAAGGTATTTGAAGATGAATTCCTTCCGGCATTCAATGAGCCTGTGACAGAAAAGCAAGCTCAAGAATTTTTGAAGTTCTTGAAACATAGTGAGTATAGTGTGGTTGAACAACTACACAAACAACAGGCGAGAATTTCTATTCTTGATCTTTTGATGAATTCAGAAGCGCATAGGAATGCTTTGATGAAAATCCTCAATCAGACATTTATCCCCGAAGATATATCCCTCAATAAACTTGACAGAATTGTGGGACATATAGCCGCCGATAATTACATAACCTTCACAGATGATGAAATACCAGAAGGCGGAATGGGGTCAGTAAAAGCTTTAAACATCACGACACATTGTCATGGTCATGTGTTGCCAGGAGTATTGATTGACAATGGGTCTGCCCTCAATTTGATGCCTCTAGTTACACTTCAAAGAATGCCTCTGGATCAATCACACATGAAGAGTTATCAGAATGTGGTACGAGCCTTTGATGGTACCCAAAAAGAAGTGCTTGGGAAATGGAAATACCTTTGTTAATTGGCCCAGTCGTGTACAATATTGACTTTGTGGTGATGGACATCCACCCCACATATAATTGTCTATTAGGGAGGCCATGGATTCATTCAGCAGGAGCCGTTCCTTCTTCATTACATCAGAAATTGAAATTTGTTGTTGATGGACAACTCATATGCGTCAGTGCTGAAGAAGAAATCATTGCGTCTGTAACAAGCGATGTTCCATATATCGACACCAATGATGAGGCTCTTGAATGCTCTTTTCGAGCTCTTGAATTTGTAAATACAACCTTTGTTGCAGAAGGAAGGAAAATTCCATATCCCAGATTGTCTGATTGCACCAAGATGACGGTACAACAAACTTTAGGCATCGGAGCTAAAGCTGGGAGAGGTCTAGGAAAGAATCTTCAAGGGATTTCAGTTCCTATCAGTATAAAGATGAAAAAAGACCGTTTTGGGCTGGGATTTAAGCCAAATTTTCAGCAAAGGAACAAAGAGATGAAAAGAAGATGTGAAGACAGAAAGGCAAAATTGAAAGGAGGAGAAATCCTTTGGAAACACATGTCTTTCCCACAGTTGAGGACAACATTCAGATCAGGGGGAACAATTAATGTGGAACAGCAACTTGTTGAAGCCTTTAAAGAAGAAAAGTTGATGAAAGACCAAGACATAGTTGAAGAAGCTATGAATGGATTATTTATCAACATGATCTCGAATAACAACAAGACTGGCAAGTACTTGGATATGATTCGACCATGCCTTCCTGGAGAAACACTCACCAATTGGACCACTGAAGATCTTCCTATAGTTTTTAATATTAATGCAGAGTAATATTCAGAACTAATCTTTATGTTTAGCTCAAAAATATGAAAACTTTCTGTTATCTTGTAAAAGAAATTATGTTAAATATAAGAAATTTTCTTTAAAATTTTCAGATGGCAATCATTCTTTACATTTTATTACATTTTTACATTTCATAAATTTACTATATTCTTTCGGAAATATTCCGATTTAAATTTGCAGGTGTCACAGTGTTAATAGCATGTGTATTCCTAAATTTAATCCAGTGATAAATTTAGAGCAGCCTATATGTCTGGAAGAAATCAATGGTTGTGAAGATGAACTGGAATGTGATATTCCTACTGAACTATTAAGATTGGTAGAAAGAGAAGACAAACAAATTCTACCACACAAAGAAGAGGTTGAGACTGTGAATTTGGGAACAGATGAAGACAGAAAAGAGGTGAAAATTGGTACCACTCTGACAGTCCAGATAAAACAAGAATTGATAAATCTCCTTCAAGAGTTCAAAGATATCTTGCATGGTCTTATCAAGATATGCCTGGTTGAGCACAGATATAGTGATACACAAGCTTCCAATCAATCCAGAATATAACCAGTCCAACAAAAGCTTAGAAGAATGAGGCCAGAAATGTTGTTGCAAATCAAAGAAGAAGTGATGAAACAAATCAATGCAGGTTTCCTACAAGCATCTAAATACCCAGAATGGGTAGCCAACATTGTTCCCGTACCAAAGAAGAATGGGAAGGTTCGAATGTGTGTGGATTACAGAGATCTCAACAAAGCTAGTCCAAAAGATAGTTTTCCATTACCCCACATAGATACATTGGTGGACAATACTGCAGGACACGCATGGTTTTCATTTATGGATGGTTTTTCAGGATATAATCAGATAAAAATGAATCCTGAAGACATGGAAAAACAACATTTATAACCATGTGGGGCACATTCTGTTATAAAGTGATGCCATTTGGATTGAAAAATGCAGGGGCAACATATCAAAGAGCTATGGTAACTTTGTTTCATGACATGATGCACAAAGAGATTGAAGTATATGTAGATGACATGATTGCCAAATCCAGAACGGAAGAAGAACATATTCAAAATCTGAGGAAGCTTTTCCAGAGATTGAGGAAATATCAATTAAAGCTCAACCCCGCAAAATGCACTTTTGGGGTAACTTCCGGGAAGCTTTTGGGATTTGTAGTCAGCAAAAAGGAATCGAGATTGATCCAGATAAAGTAAAAGCAATTCAAGATCTTCCACCACCCAACACAAAAAAGAAGTTCGAGGCTTTTTGGGGAGATTAAATTATATATCTCGGTTCATTTCTCAATTGACTGACAAATGTGATCCAGTGTTCAAATTACTTCGAAAGAACAATCCTGAAGTCTGGAATGAAGAATGTCAGGAAACTTTGGATATTATTAAGAAATATTTATCCAATGCCCCAATTTTAGTATCACCAATGCCTGATAGACCATTAATTCTCTATTTGACGGTCTTCGAAAATTCGATGGGATGTGTACTAGGACAGCATGATGAATCAGGAAGGAAAGAAAAAGCTATTTATTATCTGAGCAAGAAATTTACCGATTGTGAAGTTCGATATCCACCAATACAAAAATTATGTTGTGCTTTGGTGTGGACTACTCGAAGACTCAGACAATATATGTTATACCATACTACTTGGTTGATATCAAAACTTGATCCTTTGAAATTCTTAATGGAATCACCAGCTTTGACAGGCAGAATGGCTAGATGGCAGATGTTATTATCTGAGTTTGATATTATCTATGTCAACCAAAAAGCGATAAAAGGAAGTGTCATAGCTGATTTTCTCGCCAGTCGTGTATCAAATGATTATCAGCCTTTGAACTTCAATTTTCCCGATGAAGATTTGTTGTGCATATCCATGAATGAAGAAGTCAGAATAAATGATGAATTTGTAACTTGGAAGCTTTATTTTGATGGAGCATCTAATGCTTTGGGACGATGAATCGGGGCAGTGTTGATTTCTCCAGAAAATGTTTATTATCCCTTTACAAGCAGACTGGAGTTCTTTTGTACCAATAATATGGCGGAATATGAAGCTTGTGTCATGGGGTTAAAAGCAGCTATAGAAAGAAAAATCAAATTTCTCAAGATATATGGAGATTCATCTTTGGTGGTGTATCAATTGCGAGGAGAATGGGAAACAAAGATCCCAAATTATTGGAATACCGAAATTTTACACTCGAATTAGTGAAAGAATTTGAGAGAGTTACCTTCAATTATCTCCCTCGAGAAGAAAATCAAATGGCAGATGCTTTGGCTACATTAGCTGCTATGTTTCAGGCAAATAAGAAAGTTGATATGATGCCAATCAAAATGCAAGTATATGAAATTCCTGCACATTGTTATAGTGTGGAAGAAGAGGTAGATGGTAAACCATGGTATCATGATATCCTGCAATATATCAAAAATCAAAGTTATCCACCAAATGCATCAGAAATTGATAAAAGAACCTTGAGAAGAATGGCTGCTGGATATTTTCTTGATGGCGAGATTATGTATAGAAGAAGCAGTGATCAAATGCTATTGAGATGTTTAAATACCAGTGAAGCTCGAAATGTCATTGAAGAAGTACACAGTGGAATATGTGGAACACATGCAAATGGTCTTTCTATGGCCAGAAAATAATGAGATATGGATACTATTGGGCTACCATGTACACAGATTGCATTGATTATGCAAGGAAATGTCATAAATGCCAGATATATGCAGACAAGATTCATGTACCCCCATCTCCTTTACATGTAATGACAGCACCCTGGCCATTTTCTATGTGGGGAATAGATGTCATTGGGGCAATCACACCAAAAGCATCGAATGGACATTGCTTCATCCTTGTGGCAATTGATTATTTTACTAAATGGGTTGAAGCTGCTTCATATACCAATATTAAGAGATCCACAGTCTGCAAGTTCATAAAGAAAGAGATAGTTTGCCGGTATGGTCTACCAGAAAGGATTATTACAGACAATGCTCTGAACCTGAACAACAAAATGATGACCGAACTTTGTGCACAGTTTAAAATCAAACATGCAAATTCAGTGGCATATCGTCCAAAGATGAATGGGGCAGTTGAAGCAGCAAATAAGAACATCAAGAGAATCATTACGAAGACTACCGAAACTTACAAAGATTGGCATGAGAAGTTACCTTTCGCTCTATACGCATACCGAACTACTGTTCGAACATCTACTGGGGCAACACCGTTTTCTCTAGTCTACGGAATGGAAGCAGTCTTACCAATTGAAGTTGAGATTCCATCACTTCGAATATTGAGAGAAACAAAATTGGATGAATCTGAATGGATCCAAGCTAGAGTTGACCAATTGAACCTTGTTGAGGAGAAAAGATTGAAAGCTATTTGCCATGGACAGATGTATCAGAAACGGATGATGAAGTCTCATGACAAAAAAGTACATCCGAGAATTCCAAGAGGGTGATCTAGTACTAAAAAAGATCTTGCCTATACATAAAGATTTCCGTGGGAAATGGATGCCTAATTGGGAAGGACCATACGTTGTGAAAAAGGCCTTTTCCGGAGGAGCGTTGATCTTGGCAGAAATGGATGGAAAAATTCTGAAAAATCCAAAACTCGGATTCTGTCAAGAAATATTATGCTTGAAAAAAAAAAAAAAAAAGAAGAAGAAAAGAAAAAAAGGGGTCAAGGTGAAACCCGCAAAGGGCATCTTGTAACCAAAGGAAGGATTTGAGTTGAAAACCTGAAAAGGCGGCTTAAATGCAGATTGATATTAGGCATCTGGCAATTGAACTCTCTTAAGATTTTGATGGTTTGGAAGAAGATTCACATCTACAAGCATTTGACAACGATTGAGATCTTCCAGACAAAGGCTTACATCATTACTCTAAGTTGTGTCAACTTGATTAATTTAGAAATACTTATGCTCATAATTTGTTGAGACATTTGAATTTTTATCATTATTATGTTTGCCAGAACTTTGAATACAATTTTATCTATTTCAAGTTCAATTTATTGAGATTTAATTTATTTTTGGAAATTCAATTTATTCTTTTCTATTGAATTAACATAATTTTGAAATAAATTAAAGATTTCTGAATATCACTTTATGTTAATACTTTTAAATACATGGAATACAAAATAGGCAAATCATCACTAGCTTAAAGTCATGAACATCAAGATTGTTACAAGTGGTGATACCGACAACAAGGTCGAATCCGCCAAATCTACTCATCAATTGTTCCAACCGATCACCATTCAGTTCTTGCACATCTGTTTGAAAAAATATACTAAGACAATAAAAGTCAACCTTTGAAGCATTGATTCCAACAAAAAGAAACAAGACATTGATATCAATGGGAAACATGTTTCTATACAGATCCTTGTATATGGTTTTTAAGGAAACCTAGAAGCATTTCCACCTCATCAGGTTCAAGTGGAGTAACTTTACTCCTTCCAACCTATACTAGATTCCATTTTCAGTACTCATCAAGAACATACTTTTGGACACTCGAAGGTGGCTCATTGTCATAGGCTTCAGAAGCCTTACAGACCCTTTCTGTCAATTCGGCACTTCCTGAACATGTTTATAAACAATTCAACCTTTTATATGTGCTCAATAGCATCTTCTGGAAGTGTTGTTTGAGTTATCTGATCTGATTGGACAGAACATAGCATCTTCTGGAAGTGTTCTTTGAGTTATCTGATCTGATTGGACAGAACATAGCATCTTCTGGAAGTGTTCTTTGAGTTATCTGATCTGGTTGATCATAACATAGCATCTTCTGGAAGTGTTCTTTGAGTTATCTGATCTGATTGGACAGAACATAGCATCTTCTGGAAGTGTTCTTTGAGTTATCTGATCTGGTTGATCATAACATAGCATCTTCTGGAAGTGTTCTTTGAGTTATCTGATCTGATTGGACAGAACATAGCATCTTCTGGAAGTGTTCTTTGAGTTATCTGATCTGGTTGATCATAACATAGCATCTTCTGGAAGTGTTCTTTGAGTTATCTGATCTGGTTGAACAGAACATAGCATCTTCTGGAAGTGTTCTTTGAGTTATCTGATCTGGTTGATCATAACATAGCATCTTCTAGAAGTGTTCTTTGAGTTATCTGATCTGGTTGA